TAGAGGAAAAAGTGTGAATAAGTTGATGGAGGCCTTACAATGCATTTCCTCTTTGCATATCATCAAGTAGTTTGGTGCTGCCCGAGTATAGGGGAATGGTTGCAGGTAATAGAATATTTGTCTCAGAATTGCTTATACTAGCGGTTAGCAAACTTTTTCTGTAAAGGGCTAGATAGTAAATATGTTAGGTGTTGTAGGCCGTAGACTTTGCAGCTACTGAACTGTCATTGTGGTGTAAAAGCAGTCATCAACTGTATATCAATGAGTGATCATGACTGTGTGCTAATAAAACCTTGTGGACATTCAAATTTGCATTTCATATACTTTTTATGTCATAAAATATTACTTTTAATTTTCAGTCATTTAAAAATGTAAAAACTGTAAAAACTATTCTTACTTAGCTCCACTGGTTGTACCTTAAGCTTAGTATGTCCAGAACTGAGCTCCAAATGCTCTCCTCATCCTCAAACCCATTCTTTCACAGTCTTTCATATCTCAGTAAATTGCAGATCCATTGTTTGGGCCCAAAATATTAAAATTACCCTTGATTATTTCTTTATTTTTCTCTTCTGGCAGCAGATTGTGCTGTACCTTCAAAATGTATCCAGAATCTGATCTCTTCTCACTACCTCCACTGCGCCCTTCATCCAAGTGTTCATTCTTCTTCTGGATTTTTGCAGCAACCTCTGAATTGATTTCTGTCCACTTCTGCTCTCTTTCCCCTTCATGACCCCCCACCACCACCTTAATGACTTCTTTGTTATAGAAGAGAGCAGCGGAGATTTTTGAAACCAGACAATTTGAATTTTAGGATTGCAGTATGATTTGGGGGAAGTCACTTTACTTCCCTGAATCTCAGTCTTACATTTAAAATGGGCATAATACTTGTTTCATAGAATTGTTATTAGTATTGAATGAGATAATATTGTAAAGATCTTTCTGGTACTGCACCCAGCAGAGAATAGGTAATGGAACAAATAAATTGTGGTTCCTTTTTCTCTTTTCTACTCCAAACAGATGAGCTGCTTTTCATCTTTTCTGGTTATTAAAGTGCTTATGTAGCCAGAGCACATCTTATCTATGTACCTCTTCATAAGTGACATTTGGCTAATAAATAAATCTATCTTATGTTCCTGGTCCTTCCTTTTGCACTTTAAAAAAATTCCATTCATACCTTTCAGTTCATGTCTGCCTTTGTTGGCATTAAGTGTATACAGTTCTTATAGATTCATGCCTAATTAGTAAAAGGCACCAGAGTTTATACTTGAATAGTAAAACTTTAATCTCTTTGTATTGTATTCTATTCAGTTTTAATACCCCTCCCATGCTTCCTATTAGGGTCATATATTTAAGTTACCAAAGAAGGATTGAAAACAACCAACTTCAAAATTTTTTATTCATAAAAGCTTATTGATTCTAGCACAGTATTTAACTGAGAACACTAAAGACGAGCTTGGCTTATTAGCAAGTTCAAGGTTACTTAAATTGTTAATTTTTCAACTCTAATATTTTGATCCTGGATTGAAAAGAAGAATCATTTAAAGTATCCCCTTCTTACAGGAAAGAAAATATTTTTCTTGGAATTGTTCAGGCACTTTCTTATTAGACTTTCTCTAACTTAAGTTCCTTCATAGAAATCACTACATACTGAATATCCCTATATGGTTGGTATTTCTTTACCAGGCCTATTTTAGTGCTTTAATACACCTCAATTGAAAGTTATTTACACTTTGAGATAAATTCTCCAATGACATTTTTCCCCTTTGAAATAATGGGAATAGGAAATCTATTCATGTTTCTCAGTATTAAAAGTATATTGTTTTATATTACTTGCTGGATTTAACTCAGTGTGCAGATAAAAAAACAAATGTTCTCTGCTGATTATCTCAAATCCAGGAAACCTAAGCTCTGGTTTTAAAAGCTAGCACTTGAGTTGAACAGTCAGGTCTTTTCTTTTTATTTCTGTATCTGTTAAAACAGGGGGCTTTCCTCTGCAAAGTTCACAGTATAATCTGAAGTAAGTCTTTAACTCAAGTTTGACGAGTAAATTCTTACTTCATAGACACAGCCCCGTCCTACCTTCTACACTCTGGGGTGAGGTAATCAGTCTTGTGCAAATAACTTGACTCGCTTGAAGACTGAAGGTCTTCTGTTTTGTCCATAAATGTAGATATAAGTGTCCTGCGTGGGAGGTCTTATCTGTACTGAAGGAATTGTGTGTTAAGCGAAGCAAAAACATTTAAAGTACTGTATGTCATTGTAGTCTTGTTATTTTGGATAATGGATTCATTGGTTCCATAAGCATACCACAAACACTTTTAAAGAGGTTGAAATTTTTTCCAACATCATCTTGGGGAAGTGGTGAGTTTATTCTTCTTAAAAAATCTTTACTGTTTACTTTTACCTGAGAGTTAATCTCAACTCTTATGCTCAGTCTACACTGGAGTAAGATGTGGTTGGTTATAGGGTTTCAGTCTTAAGAGTGAATTGCTCAAATTTACTGCAGTGTATTTCTGATTTAATTTTGAAAATTTAGGCAGTTAAAACATTTTAGATTATGATGGTATCAAAATTGATTTTTTTGTCTTATTATCACTGGCTTGCTGACTTAAAACTATATCTTAAGCCATTTCTTGCCTATATTTTTCCTGTGGGTTGTTTTATTGATATCCTAACATTCCACAGATGATGCAAATTTAATACTATTTGAAGCCTAGTTTTTTTTTATTTTTTGCCTCGTATTGTTTAGGAAGACAGCGCTGATGAGGGGAAATGTCTATATTTTATTCATATTACTTCTCACATACTTTAAGAGCATGTTTTTTTTTAAGATTTTTTTTTTAATTTACTTATTTGACAGAGAGAGTGAGAGAGGGAACACAAGCAGGGGGAGTGGGAGAGGGAGAAGCAGGCTTCCTGCCGAGCAGAGAGCCCGATGGGGGGCTTGACCCCATGACCTGAGCCGAAGGCAGACACTTAACGACTGAGCCACCCACGCGCCCCTAAGAGCCTGTTTTGATGTTAAAACAAATTATATATATAAAATTTTATCCACATAGAAAAATCAGAAAAATGAAAATTTAAGACCCACCTGAATATGAATGTTGCTTATTGTAATTGATTTACAAGTAAAGGAGAAGAAAGATACTTGCATAAAAAAATTAATTACTAGGATGAAAAATTGACTAGTATTGTCTTTACACATCCTGATTTAAGATGCCATAGATTTCTGGTATACTTTTGTATTTTGATAAAATCAACGTTGGGGCGCCTGGGTGGTTCAGTCGGTTAAGCGTCTGCCTTCGGCTCAGGTCATGATTCTGGGGTCCTGGGATCAAGTCCCTCATCGGGCTCCCTTCTCAGCGGGGAGACTGCTTCTCCCTCTCCCTCTGCCTCCCTCTCCCCCTGCTTGTGCTTTCACTCTGTGTCAAATAAATAAATAAAATTTTTAAAAAAATGAATGTTTATTCCACGATAATTTAGGACTGCATAATACTTATCTTTTTCTTTTGTTTAATCTGTTGGAAGACCTAAGTTATTTGATCTGTATAATTTCCCACAGTCTGAATTTTGTTGATTGCATACCCAGGAACAATTCAACATTTTCCTCTGTCTTTTGTTTTTCCTGAACACTGACAGCTAGATTCAGAGGTTTGACCAGACTCAGGTTTGATCGAAAACTATAGTTGTGCTCCTGTCATCAAGAGGCATATAGTGTCTGGTTTTTACTCTTTTTTAATGTTATTAGTCATTGATGCTCAGTGCCTCTGGAGCCATTAATTCATTATGAAATGGTGATATTCTCATTTTTTCTTTTGGTTCCCATTTATTATCTGGAATGATTTTATAGAAGATCTCTCTTATGTACTCTTTGGGTACCAGTACAATTTATATAGGAAATGTAGGATGAATTGCTTAGTTCTTTCCTTTTTCCCAGATTTCAAGATAATGAACTGGATTCCTGTCATCCTCAGAAGGTGACCAGTTTAGTGTAGTGTTGTTTTTTAAATATCATTGTGATCTCATGACCAGGGAGAGCCCACTCCCCACTGGGCTTGATCCCAGGACCCTGAGATCATGACCTGAACTGAAATCAAGAGTCAGCGCTCAAACAACTGAGCCACCCAGGTGCCCCAACTTTCTGTTTCTTTTAAGATCTTCTGTTAGGTTTATTTATGTTTGTTTTCTTATAGTTCAGTCTTCAGTACTGAAATGATTTTTGTTTTATTTCTAGTTCTTTCTTGGTTTCTGTTTCCTCATTTCTGAGTTTTTCTGATTCTGATTTATATTGCTCTTTGATGTATTATATAATTTTCTTGTATCTTATAAGACGTATAAATGTAATTTTTATTAGTAAAACATATAGCCCAAGGGATTATTTGACATACTTTAAACAAATAAGCAGCTGTAATTAATTTAGACATTGCTTTAAATCTTTAAATCAAGGCTTAGATACTGGGATCTGTAAGTGAACTTCAGAGTTGATAACATTATTCATTACATGTGAAGTAGAGTGTATATGTATGGGGAGAGGGAAGGAACGGCTTGACTTTCTTTACACTTCCAGAGGGAAGTGTAAACTGTTCTCACAAAAATATGGGTAAGAACCTTTGATTTATATAGGAAAAAGTCCTCAAATATTTCAATGATTGAGATTATAAGAAATGAGAACAGATGCTAGATATTATAGTTTTTAAAAAAGATTTATTTATTTATTTTAGAGAGGGGGGAGAGAGAGCATGTGTGGGGTCAGAGGGGTAGAGGGAGAGGGAGAGAGAGAATCCAAGCAGACTCCCCGCTGAGTGCAGAACCTGATGCTGGGTTTGATCTCACAACCCTGCAACCCTGAGATCATGACCTGAGCAGAAATCAGGAGTTGGACACATAACCGACTGAGCCACCCAAGTGCCCCACGTAGTTTTAAGATGCAGATGGCACCATAGAAGATATTACATCAATTCCATTATCTATTTGCTTATGCCCTTTCTACTTTTATATAGATGGAGGGAGCGAGGAACCACCGGATCGAAGACAGTCAAGTGTAGACTCTCGCCAAAGCCGCTCTGGGCAAGGTAAGCTTTCATTAAATTTATTATTAAATTGAAAAGATATCAGCTATTCCTTTCTAGTACTAACTCTGAGGTTTGGGGTTTTCTCTGGGTCTAGTTTATTTTTTTATTTTAATTTATTTTATTTATTTATTTGAGAGAGAAAGAATGGAGACAGAGCATGAGAGGTAGGAGGGTCAGAGGGAGAAGCAGATCCCCGCCGAGCAGGGATCCCCATGTGGGACTTGATCCCGGGACTCCAGGATCATGACCTGAGCCGAAGGCAGTCGCCCAACCAACTGAGCCACTCAGGAGCCCTCTCTGGGTCTAGTTTAGATATTCTAGTTTCTCCTTTAGAGCTTTAAATGTTGTAATCTAAAAGTTCTGTGATATCATTTATTCAAGATAAAATGAAAAATTTTCTCATGTCATTTTTTAAAATGGTAATACCTTAATAAGATTTTAAGTAATTTTGAAGCTTTGTGATATATATCTGGATATCACTTTTGGAATATCACCTAAAGTAAATTTTTAACAGTAACATTTGTATTAGCACACTGGCTTTTTAAAATTTAATCAATACAGTATTTGTTGTCTTATCTCAGAAGAAATGGTTTTTGTTTATAATTGCTATTTTAAATTAGGATCTTACTAATTATTTTCCTTTCCTGTTGAAAATTTATTATCTGCTGTAGACTGGTTTTTTGAAGTGACAACTTCCAAACTAGGTAAAAACATCCTGTATCAGTGAAATCTTCAGATAGGCCTTCCCTAATTAACTTATTTAAAATTGTATGACTAGTGCCCCCACATTCCTTTTTCTTCATAGTACATATCACCTTTGTGTTTATTTTATTTTCTCTGTCCAAAACTAGAATGAATGTTTCATGATTGTAGAGATTTTTGTCTGTTCTGTTCATTATTGTATTTCCAGTGCCAAGAATAAGTACCAGGCATATAGTAGTTACAAAATAAATATTGCTGAATAAATGAAATGATCTCTAAGAGAATGGAATTGAGAACCCGGATTGATGAATATATTACAAAATTTCAGGCAGTCATTTTGACTGATGTATGAGTCTTAGAGAATGTTTACTTATAAATAAAATAAAGCTTTGATTTACAAATGTATGGTGTTTTTTATCCTGTAAAAGTTCCTGGTTCGTTTATTCCATAATCCTATTACCTTTTTTCTCCAAGTTTGCTCTTCCCTAGTTTTGGAGTTGTACTGTTTTTATAAAATTATTTGTTGCAGAATAAAAAGAGGAATAATATATGCAGGTTGATTTGGAAATTTTAACTTATACTAGTACTTACTCATTCTTAAATAATATGCATGGTATTATATCAGGAATTTGTCTGATTTTTTTCCCCTTAAACATATTTTTATATGAAAGAAGAACTTAAAATGAATTACAGTATATAAGTATATCAAATCAACACATTATACACCTTAAACTTTCATAGTGTCATATATGTCAATAATATCTCAATAAACCTGGGTGGGGGGGAAGAAAGAAAATGAACATATGTATGAAAGACCCTAAAAATAAAATTATAGACATTAATAGAAAAAAATTATACTAATTTTTATTAAATATCATAATTTGTATTAAATGTCACAGATACAGATATGGGAGATTATTAATTATCTTATGCCCCATGGGCTGTGTCAGTTAAAATACTTTTCAAATCACTGAGTGTAGTTAAGTTTTAATAACAAAAGCTGAGGGGCACCTGGGTGACTCAGTTAAGTGCCTGCCTTTGGCTCAGGTCATGATCCTGAGGTCCTGGGATTGAGCCCTGCATCGGGCTTCCTGCTCAGCTGGGAGCCTGATTCTCCCTCTCTCTCTGCCCCTCCCCCTGTTTGTGCTCGCTCTCTCTCTCAAATAAATAAAATCTTTAAGAAAACAACAAAAACAAAAGCTGAACCTAATAACAGCAAAATCAATGATCTCCATGACCTTGAGCACAACTACCAGATCTCAATTAGAAATTACCAGGAATTGCATCATCATTAGAGTTAACTAATAGTTAAAGCGTGTTTCTTACCTTCTCTGAGATTTTGTTTGTAGTATCTCTTTATTCAAAAGACAGAAATAAAAATTACAAAGCCATCTATAATGAGCTGAATGAGCATCAGTATTATCAGGAGTAAAGAGATGGGATAAACATGCACTTGTACTTTTGCTCCTTGCGGAAACCTGCTAAACAATCGGTAAAGGGGGATTGGAGAAAAGCCAACATCAACACAATTTTAGAAACTGGAGAGTATATGAATAATTAAAAACTGAACCCTAAGCTCAATAGCAGAGAAAATCAAGAAAACCTCAAAAAACTCAAGAATGGTGGCATGTAGAAATGGAGATGAAAGGAAGATAAGCTGAAAGTCAGTTGAAGAAGCATTTAATTCCTGAGACCTCTTCCTCAAAATTAGCTAACCAGTCAGCTGGTCAAGTGCTCAACTCCCTACTCTTATCGTTGGCAAAACCCAGAAATTTATTCTTTGGAATAAAATAGAGATTCTAGACTGGGAGACACCTACCAGGCATAGTTGAGGGCAGTCCTATACTGAAAATAGGACAGTTGGACTCCAGTTGTCTTTATCCTATTGGCACTAGGATACTGGCAGGTAGGCTTTCATATTTCAGGCAGGAGGTTGGCATAGTCTTTTCTGAAGAATCTGACTAAAAAGAAAGACACAAAATGTAGCCATCAGAGATTCCTTAAAAAAACAGCCCAGCTAGATCGCTCTATGTATCAAAGCTCTCAATCAGGCCTTTAGTCCTCTTCTCTTAAATATTAGCAACTAACCAAGGGTTACTTTAGATATTTGAGGAAATATGTATGAAAGAGATTAAAATAAGTAGAATAAAGCGACTTGGAGAGAACTTGGAGAAATTTTGCAGGGAAAAATAATGGAACGATTATTAACATCCTTCGGGAAATAAAAGAAACTAATACAGTCTTTTAAGACATGTAAGTTTTTGGTTTTGGGCTTTTTTTTTTTTTTTGCCTGCCTTGTACCCTTTCTTAGGAATCTTTAGGATATGATCCATCAAAATGAGAAAGACAAATAAAAGGAAGAAATGGGTTACAGGAAATAGGAAGTTCAACAAAGGAGAAAGGTAAAGAAATCTTTAAGATGACAATGAGAAGACAGGGAGAGAGGAAAACCAAACCAGATTGGAGTAGGTTAGAAGCCTCCAGAAGGGTTGTTTCACGAAAATGAGATTGGTAGAAACCTGATGCATTTAATTATCTTCAGAAAAATTTTAAACAACTGGCAAAAGGTTTAGGGTTGAATTGGTGGTGAATACATAAAATAATAAGTAAAAAAAAAAAAGTCCTAAATTCAAGGGAAAACAAATAATGTGTAGGAAAGGAGATATTCTTCAGAATAAGCCCTCAGTCCTTGGGGCAGGGTCTGGGGTAGCTGATGTTTATGCCTGTCATACCACTTCACTCCAGTGTGGTACAAATATTTCCATTATTTGATTTGGACCATTATGGTTGGGAAGCAGGACTCTGAAGCACGGTGAGCAAATCTGGTGTATGTGGCTTCTTTTTGTACAGTTGATAGATTTGATTTGCTAAAATAATTTTTATTATTTTTGCATCTATGTTCACGTGGGATATTGACCTTTAGTCTTCTTGCCTTACAATGTCTTTGTCTGATTTTGGTACCTGAGTAATGCTGACTTCCTAGAATAAGTTGAAAGTTGAGAAGTATTTCCTCTACTTCAATTTTCCTGGAATGTTTTGTGTAGAACTAGTATTATTTCATCCTTAAATGTTTGATAGAATTTCTCAGAGAAGCCATCTGGGCCTGGAATGTTCTTTATGAGAAAGTTTTAAGATACAAATTAAATTTCTTGAATAAAATATGACTATTTGAATTATCTTTTCTTGGGTAACCTTTTAAAATCTGTAGATCTTCAGTGATGTCACCTCTTTCATTCCTGATATTGGTAATTTGGGTATTCTCTTTGAACTGATCATTCTGGGAAGAAATATATCAATTTTATTGATCTCAAAGAATCAGTTTCAGTTTTCATTTATTTTCTCTGCTGCTTTCCTGTTCTATATTTCATTGATTTCTGCTTTACTCTTTATTATTTCCTTTCTTCTTTCCGCTTTGGGTTTAATTTCTTTTTCCTTTTCTAGTTTCTTGTGGTAGAAGCTAAGGTCATTGATTGGAACTTGCTTTTTAGTATAGGAATTTCAGTGCTATAAAATTTCCCTCAATGTACTGCTTTAGCTGCATTTCACAGAATTTGATGAATATGATTTCATTTAGTTCGAAATACTGTCTGATTTCCCTTGTGATTTCTTCTTTTACCCATGTGTTATTTAGAAGTGTGTTGATATAGTTTCCAAATATTTGCGAATTTTCCATATATCTTATATTGATTTCTAACTTAATTTTGTTCTTGTCAAAGAACACTTTGAGTTGAATCACTTTTTATTGAAACTTGTTTTGTGCTCCAGGAAATGATCTATCTTATGTTCAGTATGCACTTAAAAAGAATGTATATTTTGCTCCTTTGGGGTGGAAGGTTCCATAAATATCAGTCTGGTCAAGTTGATCGATAGTGTTGTTCAGGTCTTCTCTACCTTTGATGATTTTCTGTCTGCTCATCCTTTCAGGTACTAGAGAGGAATATTGAAATCTCAAGTTATAAGTATGGATTTATCTCTCTCCTTTCAGTTATATCATACTCCTTATACTTCTGTTCTTCTGGTCAGAAGGATTCCCCTCCCTCAGAGATTTAAGTATCCTCTCAGTGAGAGCTGCTGATAGTGAAATAGGTTTGCCCCGGGGGCAGAGCTGGAAGAAAAAGGTAAAAAGAAAAAAAAAAGCCAGGGGATTTTCCCTCAGTCCCATATGGAGCCGCCCTCACATCCTTCATTCATTCTGCCTAACCAGGTAGAGAAGACTTGTTTTGCATCTTTCTTTTCACCCCTGCTCTGCTGTTCCAGGATTTGGGTTTCCGTTGAGTTCAGGCTGGGAGTTTGGGGAC